AAAAAAAAAAAAAAAAAAAAAAAATCCTTGCTTGTCATGATCCCCCATCCCCTCATATTCGTGGTTCGCACCATTGCCCTCCTCTCCCCCCCTCGTCGTTCTAATCCTCTCCCACACCTTCGCCGTCTTCCTGAAACGCATCCTCCCCATTTTCTTTCTTTTTGTTGTTTTTTTTGTTTTTTTTACAAAATCCTCCCCATTTTCACGCATCCTCCCCATTTTCTTGCCATTTTTTTCTCTGTTTTTTTTTTTTTACAAAATCCTCCCCATTTTCACGCATCCAGGGGAATGACTATACAGCTGAGGGGACTTGGATAACTGGGAAAACAGTCGATCCCTCAAACAGCCCCGTTATTACTCAATTGTACCAATTATGATTCAGGGCAATCTTGCTTGCTTGAGCAGGTTCATCAAGCTCGGGGGCATCCTGACGAGGGAGAAACTGCCACGTCAGCTCTCTATTCATCAGCACTCCCCCAACTTATCAGGAAGCTGAACCATCCAGAGAACGCTAACGCCAAGCGCGCACTGTGCGCACACACACGCACACACACACACACACACTCCGAGAGAGAGAAAGAGAAAGACAGGAACCGTTTGACAAAATAAAATAAAAAAAAGAAGGCGTTGAGAGAACAGTGTGACGGAAACATGGAGAGAGGGAGGGAGAAGAGGGAGGGAGAGGAGGGAGGGAGAAGAGGGAGGGAGAGGAGGGAGAAAGAAGAGGGAGGGAGAAGAGGGAGGGAGAGGAGGGAGGGAGGGAGGGAGAGGTGGACGACCCTCCCCCCCCCTCCTCCCTGTGAGGCACACGTCCGGATCCAAGATAACCATGGTTTTCCTCCTCGGCGCCGGGGTGGTGTGACGTGCTGCCGAAAGACGGTACAGAGCCCCACAGACTGTCACAAGATGGGGGCAGTCGGGATCGGGACACTGGCGCGGCGGACTTCTTTCAGGATGGAGTACGCACGACGGCGAGAAGGTTCATCACGAAAATGATTAGATTGAAAAAAGAAAAAAAAAGACAAGATTAACGATCGTGCTGATGGCCGTGAAAGGTAATCACCACGACAATGATCAGTGAGCGTGATGATGATAACGGTAATCGATGATGATGATGATGATGATGATAACGGGAAGGAGGGCAAAGAAGAGGAGGAGAAAGAGGGGGAGGGAGGAAGAGCCGCGCTGAGATGACAATGATATCCCTTCCTGCTTTATTTATTGGTCATTCTTCTCCCCCCCCCCCCTCCCTTCTCCCCTTCTTTCTCCTCCTCCTCCTCACCTTTTCACCTTCCCCTCCTCCTGCCCCCGGTCTCCTTCCCGCTCATCCTCCGTATCTTCTTGTCCTTCCTGATCTAATTAAAATTACAGTAATCAAGCCTCTGCCATTCAAGGGCGGGGGGCGAGGGGGAGTGGGAGGAGGGGGGGGACACAGTATATAAACCAATCAGTTTCTAAAACCCTCGTCGTCACTCGATCATGACACTGCAATAGCCACACGCGCGCACACGCGCGCACACGGGCGCAAACGCTCGGAAGATGCTGTCTGCTTCGTCGCGCCGTTACCAGGAAGATGAACTACCCGGTCAGGAGCGCGCAGGCCCGCCCATACGCCCACCCACGCGCGCACTCATGCCCCCGCCCAAGCATGCAAGTGCACACGTAGACACACGCACGTACACGCGCGCAACCACAAGCACGCCCTACCACACGCGCAACACCACACGTCCGCGCACTCCCCACACCTAAACACACACACACAACCTACTGATGAGTCGGTGAAAGCCCAACGGAACAGTCTGGCACAGTCATGCTTATGTTTATGGAGTTTTGTATAGCACACGCACACAGCACACGCACACAACACACACACACACACACACACACACACACACACACACACACACACGCACACACACACACACACAGAGAGAGAGAAGGGCTCTGTGTTCACATGCACAGATGCGGCCTCGCCGCACCACTCACCAAATGTGCCAAATGGGAATGAACTTTCCCCTAGAACATGGGAAGATGCGGCGATACCCATGCACACACAGAGCAGGGGTCTGAATGGTAAAGAACCAAATAAGACGACGAAAGACACTCACCTTCGATGGGAGAAGAGCACGTAAACTTCTCCTTACGATCGATGGTTGGGCGAATCCCCTCAAAGCTGCAGGGCGCTGCGTTGATGAGTGACGTCGGGGCTACATCGCAGTGCTCTGGCGAGGGACGGTTGCGACAGCGCCATCCCTCGACCGCTTGCGGTCTGTGTGCGACAAGCACAGGAGACTGTGCGGTCGGTCTGTGTGCGACAAGCACAGGAGACTACCGGGTTGAGGTTGCCCACACCTGGACTGGATTCTGCGTTCCCTACCGTAGATTAGCGACGATCGACGACGATCAACGAGCAGAAACGACTACCCCCGGCCAGGAGCATGCTCCTAGGGGCGTTGAAGCAAGGCCCAGCCTTTGCACTACGCGACAGGCAGAAGGGCGGGGGCGGAGGGGACGGGCGGAGGCCTCCCGTCTGGACCACGAGTCTGCACAATCGAATGAATTCATTGACTTACCGTGAGGGCACGGGTGCGCAGCCCGTAGTTTGTTTGTTGATGTTGTTGTGGACGTGTGTGTGTGTGTGTGTGTGTGTGTGTGTGTGTGTGAGAGAGAGAGAGAGAGAGAGAGAGAAAGAGAAAAAAATCAGGCGCAGCGCCACTTTGTCAAAACGCCTCTATCGATAAGGCACCACGCTCCCCGCGCACACAGGGAGAACAAAACGCCTCGATCGATAAGGCACCACGCTCCCCGCGCACACAGGGAGACTATCACTTCGTGAACGCAGAGGGAACGGGAGCGGCCGCCGCTGCTTTTGGCCTGTTTCTATTTCGACCACGATAGGCTTCGAATTCAAACCACCACTCTACCCGACGTTGGAAATTCGGGGGACCGGTAGCACAGGTCCATGAGGGCTACCAGTAGCACAGAGTGGAGAACCGGCAGAGTGGTGAATATGAAAAATGGGATGAATTTGCGCTATAAGCTATTTCGCAGTTGAGACAAGTTTTTTAATTTTTTAAAATATTTTTCCTGAAAAGATCATGACCTATCTACGGACCCTCACATTTTCAGACTTGTTTACGAGTTCTTCTGAGCGTGAAAAATCTTTGAAATAGGGGTACTTTTCCCGTTGGCCCACAAGTTGTCGTGTGCCAAAAATGGAAAAAGTGACGAATTGGCGCGGCATTTATTTCATGGTCTAAACGATTTTATTTTATTTTTTTGATATTTTTCCTGGAAAGATCACGACTTGGCCTACCCGATATCAAATTTTCAGATTTTTTCTCCGATTATTCTGCGTACGAAAAATCGCCAAAGTTGGCACTCAAAAATTGAAAAATTGGACCCGCCTGCGCCTTCCAGTCGGCGCCCCCCCTAAAAACCCGCCCTAACTCACCACAGGGTCTGCGTCCACGCCGTTTCAGATTCGAAATTTCAAGGCCCTAATGCCACGGGCAGCTACCGGTCCTGCACTTCCTTAAACTGCCTATTTCCCACGAATTGGACCCCCAGCAAATACAACACCTTTCCAACTACCGCACCGTTTGGTGACGACGACGAAAAATGTTCCCAGGGCATAAAAAACGCAATGTTCCCAGGGCATAAAACGCACCCCTGACGGACTGCGAACAGACAGCGAAGCCCATCGGCGCCAATTTTTTCCTTTTTTTTCCTTTTTCAATCAGTGGCACCGCGCCAGCTCCCGCATGTTCCCTCGTTGGAGGCTTGAGCATACTACAAGGACAATGAAAAAAAGTCTGAAAGTAATTTATTTTTATTTTTTGGGGTTGGACTTATAAAAAAAAAAGCAGAGGATCCAGCGGCGTAGCTCAGTTGGTTAGGCACGCAAGTGACATTCAGGAGGTTGTGGGTTCGAGCACCAAAAGTGTCTCCGGCGCACTTGGTGTCAACCGATTGTGATCTTGCACCACTAGTACCTTTCCCTGCTTGAAAAAACCTATTGGGCGGCATCAGGCTTGTAGCACAACAGCCCATCAGGGTTGCGTTTTCCCCCACTGAGACATTTCAACATCATTGAAATTT